CAAGTCACATATTTGTCTTAACTGGCATGGCATTTCAATTGCTAGCTGCACACCTGTACTGCTTTTAATGTAAGTAAGGTTTAGTCAAGATGCTCAGAATGGATGTGGCACCCACAGGGAAAGAATCCCCGTTGCTTTCCCCATTACACTTGGAAACCTCCCATTTTCCCCATTTTGTTGTTATTAAATTTTATATATAATGCTACGAACAATAGAAAAATCAAACAAAATGCAGATATAAGGTAATTGGATACACAATTATAACATCAAACAAAATTTACAGAACTGTATATGTGAATATTATGTCATTATTTATAAATGCTATTTTGGGCCACAGAAATATAAACACCTTATTGGAACATGAGTAATAAAAGTTGTTTATTTATATTATCAACAAATATTCGGATGTCGCCTAGCATATACTTTGTTACTCCAGTAGAGGAAAAACAGACTCAGTTTTTCCAGTTAATTTATAATATTTTTGTCTGCCTTTCCCTTAACCTTCTCAAATTTCTCTATTTGTCCATATAACCCAGGGGACAATGCCACACACACACACACACACACACACACACACCTGTGCGTGATACTTTTGCTATTATTGATCTTGGCTAGGGGAGGGGCAAAAGGTAGAATAATTTGAGGGGGAAAAGGCAAGGAGAAAGAAAGAAAAAAAACCGACAGCTCACTTCCTTCAGATAGTCAACCTATATATAGCAGGCACATGTTCTGAAGGGGACTCAAAGCAGCTACCAAACCATGGGGCTTTTCTTGGTTTTGTCCTTCTCGGCGTCTTATTTTCTCTTCAAAATTCAGACTGGTAAGTTAGTTCTACGTCTGTTTTGTCTTCCCTCCCCAACACATTCAGTGTAAGGAAAACAGGGCTGGCTTCAGATTCATGGGATTTCTGATATCCCTCAATACCCACCCAACCTCCCTCTTGTCAAGTTTGCAAAACCTGGCTGTCCAGCCATTCCCCATTTGAAGGACTTACCACTGATTGTTAATGCCAAGTAGGTAGAATCTTTGCTGCTGTTAAAAGATTTCAAATTCAGGCAGATAAGTTGGCATGTTGGTAAGTTCAGAACATGCATTGAAAGGGGCAAATATGGCCACAGAAAGTGTTGCAGCAGAGGCAATGCTACTGCCAACAGTGTGCCCCAAAAAGGGATGTCATGGCAGCTGGGTGACAGCTAGGCCAGCCACGGATCCAGCTTCTGGAGAATGTCTGATCTGGGCACCTCTGGAGCTAGTACAGCCAAAAAATAAAAAATAAAAAAATTGCAGAAGCTGCCCACCTTACACTGTGGCTGGCAGGAGGCACCTTCAAGCCACTAGTTAGGACTGCTCTACATAATTTATATCCCACACTTGCAGCAGAAATGTATGTTTCCAGGGCAGCTAATGAAGTAGCATAATAGAATAAATGTGCAATACTTTAAAAAAAATGAAATAAAGGATACAAAGGAAAACAGGAAGAGTCCATTCAATTAGACTGCAAACTCATAATTATTCTAAATTAAAATTTAGCAGTTCTTAAAGCCTAGGAAAATGGAATTTTTTTGCCTGGCACCTGTATTAAATCGACTATAATAAATTCAAGACAGAAGGCACAGAGCTACTTCCAATTGCTGGGGAATGGGTATTGTCTGAAAAACCTACCCTGCAAAAAGAAAAGCACATCAGGTAGAGAGGTTTTAGCCCAGCATTACCTCTGCCATGCTAGCATTCTACTTGCAGGGAGCTTTTGAAGTACAGTATGTCAGAGGGATTTTAAAAATGTGATCACCTCTTCCATCTGAAATGTTACAGATTATCCACTTTTCCCCACTTCATTCTGCTGCATCTGTAAAGCTAGACAAAAAGAGAACGAGAAAACAAGCAGACTGAAAAAGCTTTAAGCATACATAACTTCCATGTAAACTATTGCTATTTAGATACTTACTATTTACTAAATCTTTGTTATTTTAATAGGACTTGGGCCCACCCAACATTTTGTTTATAGCATCTGGAAAGTATAACACCACAGAAAAGAATTATCAGTTCTATGTCAATGTTCTATTTTCAATCATATGGACAAAGTCCCATGTAGTTGGGATGAAAAATAAAACCCTTTTCCATGCTGGGGTTTTTACTCAAGAGAAGAGCCATTGAAATTAATGGCAATTAACTTCAGTCACTTAATCCCAATGGGTCTACCCTGAGTAACAGTTGGTTGACTACAATTGTGGGTCTCCCAATCCCACAGGAGTGATTACTTCTGGGCCGCTGCATGGATGTGATGCAGGCTCATAAACGTTGCAGGCTATCAGTCATCAACTTTTGTGGGAACAGCATTTAAATGTTTGCATGCCCATGCAATCACACCATTGCAGTTTTGAGCAGCAACTATGCCAAAATGAATCGACATAGGCCCTCTTAAGAGGGAAAGAGGGCCCCTGAAACGTGGAAAGAGGCGTATATCACACTTATACCAAAGACAGAAACTGAAAAGACCCAACTTAAGAACTACCGTCCCATCTCCTTATTAAATGTGGATTACAAAATTTTTGCTGATATTTTGGCAAAGAGATTGAAAAAAGTTCTAATGGGGGAGATACATAAAGACCAAGCCGGCTTTCTTCCGCGAAGACATTTATCGGATAATGTAAGGAACATAATTGATATTTTGGAAAAGCTAGAGGTGGACATAAACACCAAGACAGTTTTGATATTTGTGGACGCGGAGAAAGCCTTCGACAATATCTCTTGGAGTTTTATGAGAAAAAACCTTCGGGGGATGGGGGTGGGTCAAGGTTTTGAAAATGGTATAGGTGCAATTTATTCTGAACAAAAAGCGAAGCTGATTGTGAACAATGTGGTAACGGAAGAATTTAAGATAGAAAAAGGAACACGTCAGGGATGCCCAATCTCACCTTTACTTTTTATTTCTGTACTGGAGGTTTTGCTGAACATGATTAGAAGGGACCGGATGGTTAAGGGGGTGCAGGTCGGAGCAAAACAATATAAATTGAGAGCTTTTGCAGATGACCTGGTACTAACTTTACAAGAGCCAGAATCTAGTACCAAGAGAGTTCTGGAATTAATTCAAGAATTTGGCCATGTGGCAGGATTCAAACTGAATAAGTTAAAAACTAAGGTAATAGATAAGAACTTAACATCTCTTGAGAGGGAGAGGTTTCAGAAGGAGACAGGTTTAACTGTGGTTAAGAAAGTGAAATATTTGGGTATAAATATGACAGCTAAAAATGTGAACCTGTTTAAAGACAATTATGAGAAAGTGTGGACAGAAGTGAAAAAAGACTTAGAAATTTGGTCAAACTTGAAACTTTCCCTGTCAGGCCGAATTGCAGTGGTAAAGATGAATGTATTGCCTAGAATGTTGTTTTTGTTTCAAACACTACAAATTGTGGACAAGGTAGAATGTTTCAAGAAGTGGCAGAGAGATATATCCAGGTTTGTCTGGCAGGGCAAGAAGCCCAGAATAAAATTTAAGATATTAACCGATGCAAAAGATAGGGGGGGATTTGCCCTGCCAGACCTTAAACTTTACTATGAAGCAGCAGCATTCTGCTGGCTGAAAGATTGGCTACTTCTTGAAAACACAGATATCTTGGACTTGGAAGGTTTTAACAATGCGTTCGGATGGCATGCATACTTATGGTATGACAAGGTCAAGGTTCATAAGGCATTTAAAAACCATATTGTCAGAAAAACACTGTTAAGTGTCTGGACTAGGTACAAAGATTTACTGGAAAATAAGACGCCTAGGTGGCTATCACCAATGGAAGCCAGAGCTGTGAAAAAACTTAACATGGAAGGAACCTGGCCTAAATACTGTGAAATCTTGGAACAAGAAGGTGACAGATTGAAACTGCAGAGTTTTGAAAAGTTGAAAGATAAAGTGAGAGATTGGCTCCATTATTATCAAATTTTGGAGACATATAATAAAGACAAGAAAATTGGCTTCCAGGTGGAAAAATCCAAACTAGAAACAGAACTGTTAGAATCCAATACAAAAACTTTGTCAAAAATGTATAATCTGCTGTTAAAATGGAATACTGAGGATGAGACGGTCAAATCTGCAATGATTAAGTGGGCTCAAGATGTGGGTCACAATATTATGAGTGTTTGACTGGGATCAGTTATGGACCACCGGAATGAAATTTACGGCATGTAATGCCTTAAAGGAAAATATCATGAAAATGGTTTATAGGTGGTACCTAACCCCAGTCAAACTTGCAAAAATTTATCACTTGCCCGATAACAAATGTTGGAAATGTAAGGAGACTGAAGGTACATTCTTTCACCTTTGGTGGACGTGCCCAAAGATTAAGGCTTTCTGGGATATGATATATAATGAATTGAAAAAGGTATTTAAGTATACCTTTCGGAAGAAACCAGAGGCCTTTCTCCTGGGCATGGTCGGCCAATTGGTGCCAAAGAAGGACAGAACATTTTTTATGTATGCAACAACAGCAGCTAGAATACTTATTGCAAAGTATTGGAAGACACAAGATTTACCCACCCTGGAAGAATGGCAGATGAAAGTAATAGACTATATGGCGCTGGCAGAAATGACTGACAGAATTCGAGATCAGGGAAGAGAGACGGCGAGAGAAGATTGGAAGAAATTTAAAGAATACCTTAAGAAATACTGTAAAATTAATGAATGTTGAAACGATGTTGACTTTGAAATTAAGTGGTTGCTAGCTGTAATGATTAAGAAAAAGGAAAGAAATGTGAAGATTTAAACAAAGCTAAAGGAGAGGATTTGCTGAATATATTAATAGAAATTGGAATACAGTAAGGGAAGGCACGAGGAGGTCGGGGAAGTAAGGTTAAGAAAAAAAAAAGGAAATGAACTTATACTTGTTCTTTCTTTTGTATGTTTTTTTGTTTTTTTTTCCTATGTTTGTCTTTATGATTTCTATAATTTTTGAAAACCTAATAAAATTTCTTTTTAAAAAAAAATGAATCGACATAAAATTCCATTGATGTGCCTATCAGCATGTGCTTTAACACAATTACATTAACCTTTAATCTGAAGCACAGCATATATAACACAATTTGATTAGTGTGTCTTATTTCTACTTAGGCCAATCTGCAGATATAATTGGGGGCGAAGAATCAGTTCCACACTCAAGACCTTATATGGCTGCCCTCATTATACCTGTTGAAGGTAACACATCCTTATGCGGTGGTACTTTGATTAAAAGGAACTGGGTGTTAACAGCAGCTCATTGTTTTCCGTAAGTATAGAGAAGTATGTCTATTCTTCAAAGTTCTTCCTGGTATCAGTTTTGCATGGCCCTTTAGGCAAGCCCTTTAGTTGTTATTCTGTCAGGTCACAGCCTTTGCATCCTAGTATGAGCTGCTAGCAGTGGCTGCCTGCTGTAAGATCCAAGAAGATGAGAATGGCAAGAAAAACCAGTAGATCAGGGTTGGGCAACTTGTGGTACTCAAGACTAGATGTTGCAGGACTTCAACTTTCATCAGCCTCAGCCAGCATGGCCAGTATAGTCAGTAATGATGGGAGTTGTAATCCAGCAACATCCAAAAGGCCACAGGTTAGCATTAGCCACTCTGCTAATCATGGATTCGTGACTTACATGCAATATGATATTGCAGTGTGGGTTGAAAATCTGGGTAACATTTCATTTTGTGGTCCCAAGTTCAAAGCAGTACAGATTATTATGAAGTTAACACTTTTCCAAAGGACACACAATTGCATGTCACTTGACTACTTAGTATTTGTGGCTGATTCACAAAGGCATGCACATAAATTTGATTTTCCAGTGCTTGATAACTCACAGCTCAATGTGTACGCTTTATCTGTGGTGTTTAATCTGTAATGGCTCACATCACATGTGCAAGTCAACACTTCATTATGATCGAAGATGAAGATGATTCCAGTAGGAATGTAACATCCCCCTCCCCCTGCTTGGTTATTGTGCTAGTCAATATACTGAAACCTGTAGGTAATTTACTGGTACAAAGCTGTGGCAGCTATTTTACAAGAGAAGTGGTGAAGGTGTCTTATCAGCCAGCAAACTCCTGAAAATAACTTCTCCAGAGTTCCTCGAGCTTGACTTCAAGGACGGGGGAACAGAACCTTTTATGGACCCAAGTTCATAGTGTTAAAACAGTGGAGAAGATTTAATGAACTACTTTATAAAAATATAGAGTGAATGTAGCTGTTTTTAACTTCTAGAAGTCTTAACTTGATAGGTGTAGAGCAATGTTTCCAGATGGGGGCCATATGCCCCCCCCCAAGATATTCCAAGAGGGCCCCAGGTGAAAAATCTTTTCAGGTCAATTCAAAGGCCAAAGCTATTCAATGAAGGAGTCAGATGCACCTCTGTTTGAGGGGAATTACACAGCTTAGGGCAGTGGTTTTCAACCAGTGTGCTGTGGCACCCTGGGGTGCCTTGAATGATGGTCAGGGGTGCTGTGGGCTTCTGTTCCCCTTCCCTTCCCTTCCTCCTCTGATGCCCTCTTGCGTCTCTGCCTCCCAAAGGCTTGCATAGCTGTTCGTTGCAGCAGCCCTGGCTACAAGCTCCCCCGGTGAATGGTGCCTCTGGGGCTGGCCAGGGGGCACTTCCCAGGCCCCTGTGGGGCAGTGTCAGGAGGCAGCTATCTTTGGGGCAGGGGGCAGCAGCTAAGAGACCAGGGGCAGCAACTGTGGTTGCCCAGAGGACTCCCAAGGAGAGGGGAGGAGGTGGCTGAGGAAACACTCCACAAGGGAGTGTGTTTGAAAAAGGATGAGAGGCTGCCAGCTCTGCAGGCAAGAGTGACATAACTGGGCTCCTGAGCCCCACAGGGATGCCGCAGAAAGAATGTAGTTGGTCAAGGGAGCCGTGTACTCAAAAAGGTTGAAAACCTCCGGCTTAGGGTCTCCTACAAAGAATACCATCTTCTGGGTAGCCATCCGCTGAACTTCCAAGGGCAGCAGCACTACCAAGAGGAATCTCTGCTGATCTTAACAGCCAAGAGCATCTGTTGGGAAGGAGGCAGTCTTTCAGATATTATGACGTATTCTGTATCAGGAAACAGACGCTGGCTTTCCATTCATACCTTTCTGTGCAATGCCCAGTAGACTTTGGCTTCTCAACCACACAGTAAACAATGGGGTATTATATCCTGTACTGTTTATATAGACAATTAAGTTCAAAATGGATAAAAAAAACAGCAAAATATTACATGTTTATTCAGAAGGGCCATTGTGTCTAGTGGGGCTTATTCCTAAGTATGTTTCAGACTGCAGCCTAAGTATGCAGTATGCAGAGTGTGAAATGTACTGTATGACAGCACAGACTCAAGAACATTGTGTAAAGCCAAAAACACAGGAGAGTGCAAAACAAATATTAATGCACTTGCTAGAAGCAAATGTTGATCAAATCTTTGATCTTTTTTATCTTTTCAGAAAAGAAAGGAAAAAATCAATTCCACAAGCAATAGTTTTTCTTGGTGCTCATTCACTAACTGGAAAACAACAACAACAACGCATTAAAATTATTGGAAGATATGGTCACCCACAATATAATGAAAAGACGATGGAAAATGACATTATGCTTTTGAAGGTACTTTTAAATGGAATGTGAATATTCTGGGGCTAAAAAAAATAAATTTTATACTTATCTTTCTAAGTATCTTTCTTGTCAAGTGAATTGGATGCCTTAAATTTTAAATAGGCAACCGTGCAATCAATGCACATGTCTACTCAGAGGTAAGCCCCACAGAATTCAATGGGAAACATAATACAGCCTTAGTTGGTTATTCAACTAGAAAGCATAGGAAAGTGTAGGTGTTATTCTTTGGCAAAATTAGTGATCATCATCTGGCTGTTCTTATTCAGCCTGCCTAGTTATATGAGTTTTCCTGGGAGACTTGCCGAAGCCTGAGCTTAAGCAACTTCTACAAGAAGCATAAAGCAGAGCTTCCTCCTCTTTAGTCTCAATATTGCCCTTGTAGAACTCAGCAATAAGAATGGATCCAAAAATAGAATTAGTTGGCTCTGCTTGTCATTGGCTCCACCTACTGTTGGTCTCCCAGCCCTCAGCTCTACCAAGCCCAATGGGCGCCACTGACATGTCATTACAGACTGATGATTGGTTTCTCCTACAGATTATTTTTTTAAGTAGCTGAAGGCTGAATCATTTAGATAACTCATTATCATATAGTATAATAGTAATATTGTGCAGGTGCGGGTGTGTAGTTAAGCTGGTAGGGCTTTCTGATCTTGGAACTGTTAATTCCTGATTCTTTGATCATCTGTAGTAACGCTACCTGTTTGTCACTGAATCATTAGGAGAAACAAATGTTGTACATTATATTACAAATATGTTATAGGTCTTACAATGTACTATAAAATAAAAGGAAGCCTAAAATGAGATTATTCAATTGTGCTCTGTTTATAAATACTATTTCCCTTTATTATTCTTTTAAGATGGAGAAAAGTGCGAAGATTGACCAACATGTCAAATGCATTGAGCTTCCTAGCACTTCCAATGATGTTGAGGCAGGAACACAGTGTCTAGTAGCTGGGTGGGGAATTACTGATAACAAAAGCAGGAATATATCCACTATGCTTCGTGAAGTTAATGTCACTGTTATTCAGAGAAGTGTCTGCAATGATGAGAATCACTATAAGCATTTGATGTATGTGACAAGTAACATGCTGTGTGCAGGAGATGACAAGGGAGGAAAAGATGCTTGTGTGGTAAGAGTGTTTTTATTTACCCTTTCTGTCTTCCTTAAAAAAGCTATCAACTGATTAAAGAACTTAACCATCTACCTATCCACTGTTTGACAGATAAATAAATTTGTATTTAATCAAAGTCACATGTGTGTCTATGAGCTATTGAAAAAAGTGTACGATAAACTGCAGTGCAATCCACATGTTTACATGGAAATAGGTTCCAATATATTATGAGATGCTTACTTGTAGGAATGTATATTTAGGGTTGCAATTCTAAAAGTTAATGAACAAAAACTCATGAATAGGAGGAAAGCAAAAAGCAGATCCCTACTCAAGAATTTCCAAACTAAATTTGAAGTTAGGCAAACAGTTTTGATTAAATATGCATGTGATTATTATGTCCTGCTGCACCCCTATCCACACTTACTAAGAGCCAGCCACACTAAATTCAGTGGAACTCACTTCAAGGCAAACATGGACATGATTATGTTGGATTACATTTTTTTACTTCTAACCGTTTCATAGAGGTCTTCTCATTTGTTTCAGACATTCAAAAATGTGAATGTTGAATGCATCAATACATATAACATTATGCTGAACTGAACTACTCTTTTAGACTCAATAAATGCAAGAGCTGGATTTTTCAGAATGGTAACATGTCTCCGTTTAATCTTTTCCCAGGGTGACTCTGGTGGTCCTTTGATATGCAATGGGAAGCAAAGAGGCATTGTCTCCTTTGGTGCTAAATCAGAATGTGGAAATCAACGCTACCCTGGTATCTATACTCTTCTCACAGAGGACTATCTTGCCTGGTTAAGAGAAATCACAGAACCTTTTACAGGTTGAGCACTTGGTTTTATGATTCTCGTTCCAGACACTCATGAATTAAACCTCTCCTTTTTCTTTCTTTTTAAAAAGAGAATGTGATTTAGTTTATGCTAATCTCTGTAGCTGTAGTGAGTGCCCTATATGTAACTGATTTAAAGTGATGAGGAACCTGTGGTGTTGATAGACTACAAATTCCATCTTCTGTGAACTGGCCCTGACGGCTGGGGCTAATGACAGTTGGAAGCCAATAGCATTTGGTTCCCATCCCCTATTGTACACTGCAAAGCTGCTTCCTTCATGTGTAAGAATGCCATTTGGATCTCATGTGTTTTTATAAAGCTGGGGGAAATGTGCTTTTCCACTACAGAGGAAACTACTTACACAGTAAGCATGGATGAATGTGAAAGAACCCTCTCCTCAAATGGCCAGTGCGAAAATTTTGCAAAGAAGTTGGGACATGTCTCCTATTGTACAGGAGCTGATGTCTGGGTATGCATTAAGAATTAACTGCATAGTTACTTACAGTGCAATGGTAAACATAGCGACTTCATAAGTGTCTTTGTACAAGATGGCAGCCTAGCCTTTGGCTTAGGATTGGCTTTGGCAAAAACAGGGTTGTTAAGCCTTTAACTGCTGACTTCCTGTGCTAACCCTGAGGTTGCCCAGGGATGGGGGGTGGAGAACAATGAAAGCACTCTAATTTTGCTTTCTGCCAGTACATCCCTTCTCCACAATAGCAGCCATTGTGTGACTGGGGCACACAACACTCCAAATATATGTCCACTAGTCCCAAAAAGACCCAATATAATTATCTCCCAGATTAGATAAGATTGAAGGTGACATAGAGCTTTTCCAGTTTTGACAAATCACCTTTTAAGCTGCTGTTAATAGGTGAGCTATCAGTTCAAAGTCTTCCTCTGGTATGATGCCCTTAAAATATAAAATATTGCTACAAAAGGTCCCTTAGAAAGACAAGATTCTAAAGGCTCATCTAAAGTCCTAATTATAACGTACTCACATTAAATGAAATATATACAGGCAGCGTGCATCCAACTGACACACAGCCACCAATGTGTGGGTTCTTTTGGACCCAGAAGAGGGCAGAACGGGACAGAATGTACTGGGGGCATAACAGGGCAGAATGAGATTATGCGTGTGGGGGCCAGAAATGGAACCTCTGCACAAAATGGTTGCAGCCAGTATGCATTAGGTGCAGCAGTGGACTCTGGGCTTTCAAACTTCACCAGTGGTACTCAGCACACACCCCACCACTTGCCTTCTGTTCTAAGTCATTGCTGCAGTGCCCTCAAAACTTGGTGCCATGTGCAGGCAAACCAGTCGTGCTCCCTTCAGTGTGTGTGTGTGTGTGTGTGTGATCCTTAAAATTCAGACAGAGAGTTAAGTCAAAGAATATTCTTCCAAATCCGAACTCATTTTTCTAATGGTACATGAGTACACATACCTTTCTAATCATATAGTTCCGCTAATTTAATTATATGTCTAACCTGAAGAAAACATTTAACACAATGATTAAGTTTTTACTACGTAAATGCCTTGGCTGCTGGCTGGGGTTTAACAGGAAACCAACAGTTCCCACAAGCGCAGCTATTCTGCAGGTTGCCAACCCCCTACTGATGTGCTGCCACCATTTCAATTCAGTTTTATACCATGAAACCCTTGCCTGTTTTAGATTGAACTTCATTTTACTGGCAAGCACAACAGCCAATATTTATTATTAAAAATTATGCTGATCTTTATTTACTAAGACATTACAGTTGTTGACTACATCCTCCTAAGAATCCAGAGACTTGTGGACTGCAAAGCCTTACCTAATGTAAACCAATGTTTTAAGTCAAGTCTATTGCTTTCAATAGGTCAACTTTAACTAATGGTGGAAATCTCCCATACAGTTGGAATGCACCTCAAATATCATATACCCCCTTTGTTAATGCAGAAAAAACTGCTGCAAAGCATCCCTCATAGGTGGCTTTCCAGCCTCTGCTTAAAAATTGCTAATGAAAGAGTAGACACCACCTTCTGATGATTTTCCACAGTCAAACAGCTTTAGTCTTCCTGAGGCTTAGTCAAAATCCCCTTTCTACTCATTTGAGCCTGCTAAAGAAAAAAAAAGTTCCACAATCTACATGACACCTCTTCAAACATTTAAATATGGCTATCATATCATTTGGCTATCATATCACCTCCTAATTGTCCAGGTTAAATATAACCAACTCCATTCTAGTTTCAAGAACTGTAATCCAAAGAAGTACTTTTGGCACAAATCTTCTGTCCAAACTTCTGTCCTCTCATTTTTCAAACTTGTTTTGCCGCATGGCACTAGGAGTGTGGAGGAGAACAGTGTTGGTCTACAAATGACTCAAAATGTTCTCTTGGATACATGAAAACATCTGCATGATTCTTCAGTGTCCTTCATCAGGATCTGTAACAGCTTATCCTATACTTACCTGTGCCATCCTGCTCTTGATGATGCCATTACATTAAAAGGAACAACTTGTGACCAAAATACTGATGCAAGCCTTAATAATGTTACAGGATTTGCTTCCTACTCTTTGTACAGCTGAGAGTGCTGCATCACTGAAATCTTAATATGTGGACTAACAGCAACTACAGCAGCTTGTAATTATTTGAAATCAATTAACATAATGAATTCAGGAAAATGCATTTTTCGTTCATGGAAGCACTTACCTCAGCAATACATTCTGCGTGCTGACAGTAGACAAATATGAGTTCATACACTGAGCTATACTTCAAGTACATCATCACCACAAAACTCACTTCTGCTGGGATCAGTACCCCACTTAGAAAGTAGTTAGAATTTCCACTTCTGCCAGGAAATTTCATCATACAAGTCTTCATGCCAAAATATCTTAAATTAACAGACTCACCTCGCCTCATTAATCTTTGCTTTGTTTCCAAGGCATTTGAAGTTTTCAATGTAACCTGCACTGCAGTTGATCCGTGGCCAGTCTGGTACACATATGTCCAGAAAGTGAGGCCTCAGTCTACCTATAGAGTATTTGGCAATGTCCGTAAGAGACTGGCTAATAGCTGCGCCAAAAATGAATGTCCCAATGGCTTTGTAAAGAGCGGCAATATAGTTGTTCCGCACAAATGAATTGGAGTGCAAGCGGTTGTAATACACAGAAAGTGCCTCTCCTATGATTATCTGAAATAGAAAAAAAGAAACCAGAAAGACATGAGTTAAAGAAACACCATTAAAATGTTATATCTGATATAAAAGTTGCTCCGTACATGGTTAAATATGGCGGGGTTTCTTAGTTCATTTTATTGATTTTCAGGATAGGTAAATTTGATTTTTGACTATGTGAAATTTAAGTAATGATAAAAAGAACAAACAATTTCTGGAAATCATTTGGATGTCTGGTTCGAATGGCTGAGCCAAAAATCACTGAAGTAAACAGGAACCTCTGTTTTCTTTCTCATTTGATTATGAAGCAAAGGCTTAATGAATGAATGGAAGGCAACCCTTCACCTTTTTTTCCAGAGATAACAACCTTTCCCACACTACTTCACAAAAGACGCAGTAGTAGCACCCGCAGCACACAGCACATTTTATTCCTCATCAAGTTTCCACTCATTCTTAACCTTCTACTCAAAAGAAATAGTTTCTTTGCCAAGAACGTGATCATTCTGGAAACTCAGGAACCAAGTTAAAGGGTTAGACGAGAGCACAGTTGCCAGGGTTGCTAAAGGCCAGATTTTAACATGGGAACCTCCCATGTTTCAGCAAAATGGAATATTTTAAAAGAGCATCCTTCCTCCAGGATGTGAAGCTTTACTGAAACAATAAAAAAAGTGCTAGATTTGGAAATCTACAGGAAGATACAGCTTTGTAACTTGACTGTTATGGGGGAGGTGATGTTCAAGTTTAAGCAAGTTGGTTGCATGAGAAGCATTCATGCTTGTTGTTTCATAACTGGGACTAATTTTAGTTTCTCCTCTTAAAATAGAAGTCTGTGCACAACAGAATAGGAAACAATTCTAAACAGTAGTTGGTCCACAAGCAAGGTTAGAGAATCACAAGAGTGGGTAATTTCCAGTTAAGGCAGGGATGGGGAAACTGTGGGAATTCAACTGCAATTCCCAACAGCCCCAGCCAGTTTAGCCAGTGTCAGAGATTATGTGAATTGGAGGCTGACAACATGGACTATAAGTACCTGACTGAAGTTAAGGTGGTTAGAAGATTTTCCTCTTAATGAAAATCTCTAGCCAAGGCTAAATGACAAAAATCTACTTCTACAAAAATGAATACAATTCCTACTGTGGCAATGTTGGATATGCACATTGGTTAGCCATCCGTCACTAACATATCAATATGCTGCAAGTGAATCAGTAGGACATCATATACAATAGGATCACGAATGTTTACTAGGCCTTTAAGATATCCAAAAGCTTGTGGATAGCATATGATTAAATAAATATTTAGGAGACTGAAACAGAATATAGGGAACAGTGGGTTATACACCAACATCCAGAACATTGTTCACATAGCACCTCTGTCCCATAGAATTTGATTTTAAGTATCACCACCACCGCCCAAGAATAACATTTATTGCATTTATAAGGGCATAAACGGGAATAAATGTTTTCCATTTGTACTTAAATCTCTGTGGATTCTAGCATTAATAAGAAGCCTTTCCACAAAACCCAATGGCTAAAAGATCTCTCCGAATTCACATTCAGTCATCAACATGGAGCATCCGACAGACCTTACATGTGTAACTAGGACCTGGATGAATACCATAGGTTCTGTAAAGGCAGGGCTATTCACCAGTTTTGCTTTCCTTTCTTTCGGAGGGATGGGTGGGCAATGGAAGCACTTATTCCAGGCCTCATACAAGAAGGTAACCACAACAACACTGAGAAAACTGAATGGTGCAGTGAGAAAGAAGCCCCTCAGGCCTCCCAAAGTCTTTACAAACTAGTCAGGATCAGCATTCTCAGTGATAAATTTATGCAAAACATGGTGTGATATGCTATGTAACATGCCAGACAATCCACCTGAGAACAGTTATATATTTGAGCACGGCTGCTTTCTGTGCTTCCATCAGCCCCACAGGTGGTAACTCATTTGTATACAGACCTTCCAGTAACACGCATACCAGTCATCCGAGACAGAATTCTTGGAAGCTGGTTTAGGAGGTGCCCTAGGACATTTGCTCCAAGAAATTCCAATGTGATCTTGGGTGATGCCTCCTCTCAGAAACTGATGACATACAATGACCTCACTGACTTTAATGCAGCTGGCAAGGTGCTTGACCTGAGATTGGTTTCAGGTGCTTGGTCACATTTATTGGGTGTTGCTTGGTTACCACCTTGAGAGAGTTTCAGGGCAGGTGCTTATCTAATTGTTAACACCAGAGCCACTCCATTGTTTTGTAGCTGTATAAACATTTAATTTCAATGTAATTATGCAGACTTATGACAAGAGTTAAATCTCTACCTTTCCACATACTGTGGTCACCAATAGCTATTTTCAAATCTTAGGGGGCTTCTGAGCTTTGCCTCCTTACCAGGCAGATTCTCTAATATATTTGGCTCATACCCTACTACAGTTCAGGTAATTTAATGGATTTAAGGAAGCTAAAGTCATGGGCTGAAAACAAATGTCAAACCAGCAAATATTTGCTTGGTAAGGGCACATACCATGGTACTGGTACATTTCTCAACACAAAGTGTATTAATGTCACCTTTGTTAAAGGAAAAAGGGGCTAGTCAGAGATCTAGCTTTTCTAAAATAAATCCTAGTAAACACAGTGGTACCTCAAGTTACAAACGCCTCAGGTTACAAACACCGAAAACCCGAAAGTAATTGCTTCCATTTTCGAACGCGCCTTGGAAGTTGAATAGCTTCCGAGGCAAATTTCTCAATTTTCTCCATTGAAATTGCCCACCATTTCGGAAGTCAAACGGTCTTCCAGAATGGATTACGTTCGACAACCAAGGTTCCACTGTATTTTTGGTATCTCAGGGACTGGATGGCACCCCAACAAATTCCATATACAGAAAATAACTGGTGGTTGTTGAATTTTACTCCAACACTGATGATGATACTTGAGTGCAGCAGGTTAGCTTAGGCAACAGAAGACAATGAATGTGGCCTACACACCTGTCCTCCAACATCTCACCGCCACTCCCTGCCACCCCAGGCAGTGGCCTCACTCCACCCAATGGTAAGGTCAGCCCCAATGGCAAGCCTAATTATACTGGACTTAAAAGGCAACAAGTTATACTAATGATAGTGGTGGCTCTACAGAATTGGAGCCTCGGTTCTTAAAAGCTTTAAGATGCCATGTGCCTTAATGTTTTCATGTTCTCAGTTTTGAATAGCAGGCTGTAAGATACCGGTTGCCAACTTTTTGTGCCAGTAAGCCCATTTAGAATTTTGATAAAGTGTCCTGGGCACTATTAAGAAAATGGCTGCTGAAGGGACATCACATAGGACAAAACAGCTAGTGGTATGTAATAAAATGTGGACATGTTTAAGAAGACATGTTCAATGCAGGAGAGGCTGAGCAAGCACAAACAGGAACTGAATTAACAGTCATGCATTGTAAAGTGTTTGGGAGATATTTACGAAGACCTTTTGCAGGCACCACAGAAGGTACTGGCAAGCACACTGGCATTTGTAGGCATTACGCTGGCAACCTCTGCTACGGGAATTATGTGAATAATAATAATAATTTATTATCTATACCCCGCCCATCTGCTTGGGTTTCCCCAGCCATTCTGGGCGGCTTCCAACAAAACACTAAAATACAATGATCTATTAAACATTAAAAGCTTCCCTAAACAGGGCTGCCTTCAGATGTCTTCTAAAAGTTATTTTAAAAGTTATTTTTCTCTTTGACATCTGGTGGGAGGGCGTTTCACAGGGCGGGTGCCACTACCAAGAAGGCCCTCTTCCTGGTTCTGTGTAACTTGGCTTCTCGTAGCGAGGGAACCGCCAGAAGGCCCTCGGCGCTGGACCTCAGTGTCCGGGCAGAACGCTGGAGGTGGAGACGCTCTTTCAGGTATACTAGACCGAGGCCGTTTAGGGCTTTCTGAATTGTGCTCGGAAACGTACTGGGAGCCAGTGTAGGCCTTTCAAGACCGGTGTTATATGGTCTTGGCGGCCGCTCCTAGTCACCAGTCTTAACTGCGAGTCTTTTAGTTCTTATGCTCTTACAGTTGTTTTAACTGCGTGTTTCTGTTTGTTTTTAGCTCTTACCTGTTTTAATTATCAGTTTTTATCCATCCATTATCCATTATCCATGTTTAATCTTGTATTTTATTCAGATGTTTTATCCTATGCTGGTTTCTTTGTCCTTATTTGCTCTAACAATTATCGGTTAAAAAATCCTAACTGCTATTTTATTTATATGTTGTTTTTTGTTTTTGTTCTTTTATTCTGATCTGTGACCGTAATAAAGTTCATTCATTTATTCATGCACCACTATGGCGAGACAGTATGCGGGCAGGTAGGGTCTCAGCCTGCGTACCAGATGGAGCTGATAAACAGCTGGCCTGGACAAAGAATTGACCTGTGCCTCCATGGACAGCTGTGAGTCCAAAATGACTCCCAGGCTGCGCACCTGGTCCTTCAGGGGCACAGTTACCCCATTCAGGACCAGGGAGTCCTCCACACACACACCCGTCTGCTGTCCCCCCAAAACAGTACTTCTGTCTTGTCAGGGTTCAACCTTAATCTGTTAGCCGCCATCCATCTTCCAACCACCTACCTGATCTGAAGGAAACCCAGCCAGATGGGCGGGGTATAAATAAATTATTATTATTATTATTATTATTATTATTAGGGTATCTCTTGCTGATTCCAGTATCCGTCCGGTTAAGACCAGACCCGGAGGCAGGGATAGTCCTCAAACGACGACTAAACTTGCCTGTGAAGTATATGCAAGCCCTAGCAGTTGTATCACTCATTCTAGAATACCTGAAAGATGCAGCCCACTGAATGAGTCAGAGCTACCTCATATTGTAACCAGAACAGAATTGGTGTAATATAATCCAAACTCTTGGCTCCCACATTCTGTACTATTTCCAAACAGTATTCAAGAGTTCATTGCAGCTATCTATCCAGAACCAGCTGCACACCTCCATCAAAAAATGATTTTGGCTATTATTTGCTTGGCTCTGTTGTTATAGTGC